AAATTTTTTAATCAAATTGGGTCATTAAGTCGAGTTCGGATTATTCGGGTTGATAGCGGATTGTATTTGGGTTGAAGGGATTTATGTTGATCAATTTTAGATCAAACATGAGGATTACAAAATAATTTTTGGAAAATCATTTGACATTAAAATAGGATATTCTAAATTATTATTTTTTATAAGAAAATGTTATCAAAAAATCATGAAACATATTTTTATTGGATTTTACCTACTTAAATGTACCTTCGAATAAAATTCATAGGAATTGGTTAAAGGATGAACGCATTAATTTTTTTAATCATTTTTCAAGTATTTGATTTACGTTTTGTTTGGGATTAATTTCTCACTGCTTCTTAAAATAACATTTTTGTACAAAAAATAAAATTTTGTATTTAAAAACTGCTCTAAAAAGCAATAAAAAATCCGAATCAAATGAAGTCTTAGACTCATTTAAATTCATATCAAATTAAATTTAAATTTTGTTTGGGATGGCTTTCTGACTGCTTTCTAAATCAGCTTTTAGTTCAAAAATAGTTGAACCAGAAATTTTTATGCTAGAAAGCTGCATTAGAAAATAGTAAGAAAACAATCTCGAACGAAGCCTTATATTTCATTTGGGATGACTTTCTTACTACTACTTAAAATAACTTTTTAGTGAAAAATTAAATTTATTTTATTAAAAAGTTATTTTAAGAAACAGCAAGAAATTCGTTCCAAACAAAATCTCATTGTCGTTATATTCATCTTATCAGGATGCTCAATTTCATCCAAATAAATTATCTTATAGCTTATCACTTATATGTGAATTATAATATGTAAAAACAGCTTTCTAGCACCCTGTTTGGTCCAAATTATTGGAACTTTTCAAACGTGATAAATTAAAACGTTATAGATTTAAAATTCCATGTTGATATAATTGGGCTATGTCATAGGCAGACATGTGACGGATCATGGAAGAATGCAAACAGCGACATGTTTGGGTTGATTTTGTCATCATTCACGAATAAAATATCAATGAAAGGGACAGAAAGCTGCCCTATTGGTTTGGTTATAACTCTTGTAATAATAGGCCATTAATATCATCCTATACACTTATCCTATACCATTTCTATACAATTTGATACCTATACACAATTTATAGGTGATGTGATCTATTTTGATTTGAGTTAGGACGTCAGTCAAATTCGACGCATAATAAATGTTTTTTTTTAGGGTTGACGAAATAGGATTATATAATGTATATTATTATTTATGAAAAAAAATTAGAATTTGAGCAAGCGCATTTATTAAAAGTTGGTAAAATAGTTAAAGAGAAAAAAAAAATTTCAAAGTGGATAATTGTTTATTTTGGATTTTTCTTGATTTCACTCATGAGATTAATTAAGAAATATGAATTTTAAGTTTAAGAGACACCAAGATCTTGAGAGGTATAAGAGACATCAAGAATTTTACGTGAAAAATCATAAAAATGTGAAAAACCACGAGACTTCCTTGATTAGAGAAATAATAGTATGGAGACCTTCAAGAAAAAAGATATTGGCTTAAGTTGAGGTATTTATATTTCACTCTAAATTTGATTTTTTTAAGTTTTATATCATTAAACATTTCACATTTTTAAATTCAATCAAAATTTGAGTTTCCTGATCATATACACCATTGGATTCTTCAATCCATTGGTGTTAAATGACGTAATTATAAAACCACTCTAAAGACTGAGCATTGGGACAGTAGACCAATTAAGGAAATTATGGAGATGATTCCAGTTGGAGTTGATCAAATGCAATAGTGCCAACTTGTTAACCAATGGTCAAAGCCAGAGGACCAGGTAAATATTGAGATTAAGCTTTTTTGTTGAAATATTTTAAAAGTTATAATTTAACATTATCATGTATCACATGAAATGGCTGTAAAAAATTCTGCGAATGTCAAAAAGCAAACTTATCCTCACACAATGAGTCGTGTGAGCTCAGTTTGGAGATAGAAGTAAACGGTAATGTTTAATTATAACAATTAAATACTTCATTTACAAAATTACATTTTTTAGTATAATTTTTTTATAATCTACTAAGGATAGATTACAATTATGAAAATTAATAGAATGCATAAAGATGGGACCTGATCATCTGAAGATGATATGCAACAACAACAACAACAACAACAACATCAAGCCTTTATCCCACTATGAAGATGATATGCAACGATGGGTAAATTTAAATAGTGGAAAATTACATTGTTTGTTTAGAATTTCAGAAGTACATATTTGTTGTCATAGGCAAGCCAACTTTTCTCTTACCATTTTTTTCTGCTAGATAATATTCTTGAGCTTCACTTGAACGAAGGCACTGTCGATGGAGCAGTATTTAGCCTAATTTTGTATTTATTTAAACAAATCATTGAGTTGTGCGGTTTATTTTCTGTGGAGGGAAAGAAACGACAGACGTTTTGGTTGGATTCAGAGCTCCCATACATTATTTATCATAAGATTTCTGATGCGATCATTACTAAAACGAGAAGTTGGAAGAACATTGATAAGTTGCAATCCAAGTATTCTCAAATTATCAAATCTAGCTTGAGCGGACTCTACTTGCTTACATCCTTAACTCTATCACAACGATTTGGTTAAAAAAAATAATCCATGTAACTTTAATTATTATTTAAGAAAAATTCTATAACAACATCATCTTGAAAATTATTGAAATGAATTTTGTGAAAAAATAAAAAATAAAAAAAAGGTGAGAATATCATGACCAAAATTTGATTTGGATAAATTTTAAAATATTCAATTTTCCTTGAGATAAAAAGAACTAGAAAATTTAATTATTTATTTATATATTTTACTTATCTAAAAAAATTAAAAACTCATCTAAGCAAATTTTCATATTTTAATCAGAATATTGCTTCTCCTTTTTGGACATACCTAAATCAATTTTCATCTAAAATTTTCTCATGTTTTTTAACCTTTATTTCTTTGTTTCATTTTTCTTTTTCAGTTTTTGAAATATATGAAATGTTGCTAGCCATTTATTTGAAATTTTAATTAATTCTTTTATCTTTTTAATTCTATAAAATTTTCATATTAAGATAAATATAATCATTATAATCATCTTATTATGATTTTTTTAGCAAACGAAAAAGTAAGATTATATGTATACATAAAGATTAGGATCCGCTTAGAGCGGCTATAGTTTTTTTATAAAAATTGTTCTAAAGTTATTACGAGAAAAATAAATTTTTGGGGCATTATAAATATATTTTTTTTATTTGAAAAATCGGATATCAACTTTCTTACAGCTCTCACAGATTAGTGGATTTGCTTACAAAAAATCAGCCGTTCAATAAAAAAATTTTAAAAAGCAACGAGAAATCAACAAGATCGTAATAGTTAAATGGACTATAGTTCCGGTCTAAGAAAACGAAGCTATCACAAAGTTGTTCGAAGCAGGAGAAGTTATTACATTCGGACAAAAATCAGAAATCCGGACAAATACCGAGTGCTCGGTACCGAGCACCCAAGTGACGTGACGTTTTATTATTGGTCTTTGGATATGTTCCGTGTCCGCACATAATAATTACTCCCGAAGCAGACCCTAAATTATTTTTAGCATATAGAATGAAAATTAGAAACTTACACATTTGAAAGAAAAAGGCTGATAGGATTAATTAAAGGGATCTAAGAGAAACAGAAATCTAACAAATAGGACGAGGAGGGTTTTTTTTTTCTTGTTTTTTAATTTTAGAAGTTCATCCATGTAAATAATGAATATTCAGGTGTTAAATAGATAATTCCTATAGTTTTAGTGATATGCATATAAACTCCTAATAGAGAGAAACTGATTTATATACAAGTTACTAAAAACTCCATCATTAATTTACATATTTAACGGCTAAAGTTTACTATTTACATCATATATCAACCTATTCATATGTGTTAATAAAAAAACCTAGAACATCATGAAAGTCTACGACTGGATCTCATTGTCATTGACAAGATCAGCATAACGTGCAGTTTAAAATGAGACTGCTCGAATGCAAAGCTAGTGACATGATCGAAAGCGTCAAGAGCTACAAATGGACCTGATATGTTCTCAAAAATTTATCTTGATCGGCACGAATCTCAAGGCAAAAAGCTAGTTGGAAACTTCAAAAATTAAATCCGGAAGCACCAGAACTCCGATTTCAGCGAGCCTACAGTCAAATTGAGCGTCTCGGAAATACGAACCCAACGACACCAAATTCGACCCAATCCGAGTCCAAATGGGTCCGAATCAAGGACCCGAAGCGCTGTTGGAAGGTTCAAACCGCAATTTGAGTTACCAAACGGTCTCCAATTTTATCGAGCTTATACTTGAATTGAGCGACTCGACGAGACGAATCCAACGAGCCTAAGATCGCCAAATTCCGACATCCTTAAGGCCTTCAAATGTCCAACGAACGGTACATGATCAAATGATTCGATATCGGCCGTCCATTCAAACCACTCCCAGTTCGCCCATGATCTCACGTCTATTTACGGGCTTTGCCACTCCATAAAAACTTTTAATAGAGCCCTCATTCTGCACAAAGGGGAGGGAAGTGAAGAGAGAGAAAAAGAAGAGAAGGAGGAGAAGGAAGAAGCTCCTCCTCGACCACCGCCGGAGCTCTTCCTGCCGCCTGAAGACGTCGGAACTCTGCCGGATTTTCAGGAAACACCGGGAATTTGCAGAACTTTGTAACTTTGTGAGAAGTTGACTGCCGCGTATATTCTAGCACGCAACAGGACCAACAATGCCCAAAGAAAAAGAAATCAAAATGAGATTTGAACAACCCGCAAAACTTTAACTTTTGGGTGATATTTTTTATTATTTTTTAAAATTTTAAATGTTATGCAGATAATTAATGAAATTTAAATGATAAATATATAAATATTAAAATTTTAAATATTATTCGTCTAAATCACAAAATAAAATAAAATAAAACTAGTACAACCCATATTTCTTAAAATTATGATGCTACGCCTTTACCAAATCGGCTCTTAGCCTGGGCGAGCCTTTATTGCTCAAAAGCTCTGCCTTCTTCACGAAGACATTGCCGCCTCTATTTCTCAGTCCAATTTGGAGAAAATGATCTTGCTTTAGAGAAAGCTAAAAGGAAGCAATGATGCACGGCCCGGCGACAACCGGAGAGCCTTCGAAGAAGAAGGTATTGCTTTACATAAAACGTCCGGCGATAATCTGTATGCGTGGGTTACATTTTTTTTCTGATTTCATGAACAAAGTTTTAGCCAGATAGTTCATGCTTATATTCGCTGTATTATAAGCATACTGTTTGTTTGCGGTATCCTAATCACATTGTGCAGTGGTACCATAGTTTGAAAACCTAGCTCCAAAATCGCCCCACAGGTGTCCTTAATATGGTTTTTCTTCCTCGTTCCATTTTTAAACTGCTCTTGATTGGTTTAAGCAGTTCTAGGGCATTCTATTGCATACTACTCAATGGAGTAGTACAGTTACATATGTCAAACTTTTTGGGCAATCACTGTCTAATAGAGTTTTTATGTTGAAAATGTTGCAATTGAAATGCCTTCGGTTAATTATGTTTATGGTAAATCAAGTGTAGAATTGAATTGTGCAGTAGATTATAATTACTTAATAAGATCGATAATTTTGGATATTTGTTTTTGCTTCAGATTAAGGTCTCCTTCAAAGTTATTAGATCTCTTACACTTGATGTTTTAAGCTCTGACACAATTGGGAGTATCAAAGACAAGATCTACAGGATTGAAGGGACTTCAGTCAACCAACAAGAGCTCTTTTTTGCAGGGAATCATCTAGAAGATACCAAAGCACTATCTGATTACATTGTTTCCACTGATTCTGATTCCACCATAGATGTTTGGGTTGAAGGAAGAATGCCAATTTCCATTAAAATCCCATCAATGGAGAAAACTTTACCTCTTAATGTGAAGTTTGTGGAAACAGTTAAGAAACTGAAAGTCATGATTCAGGATGAGGTGGGAATTCCTTCAGATCAGCAACTTCTTATTTTTTGTGGCAAAACACTCAAAGATGATGAGTTATTAATTGCTTGTGGTATCATAAAGGATTCTACAGTTTATGTCATGTTGAATCCATTAGCTGAGCTTCTCCTCTATGTCCACATGGCTTGTGACAATGCCTTCAGTCTTGAAGTAAAGGCAGGATATACCATTAGCGATGTCAAGGTCATTGTTGAGAGTTTAAGAGGAATTCCTGCTAGTCAAATAAAAGTTTTTCACGATGAAGTAGAGCTTCAGGATAGCTTCACCTTATCATTCTACAAAATAAAGCACCAATCTGTTCTGCATCTACAAGCTCCAATACAGATATTTGTAAAAATTGTGACTGGAAAGACCATAACTATCACAGCTGAAGCTAGCGATACCATTGCAATTATCATCACAAAGATTGCAAGCAAGACGGGTTTTAAATGCAAGAATTTGAAGCTCTTCTATGCTGGAAAGGTACTTCAGGATCAAAAGACTCTTTCATTCTATGGTATAAAAAGGGAATCAACAATCTATCTACGTTGAATCAACAATTTATCTGCCGGCTCGAACATTCTATGATTGTTGAAACAAGTGGTGCTGTTGGTGGATGATTCAGAACTAATCTCTTTATATGATAGTTGCATGTTAAATTGAGTGACAAACTTCTCACTTATTTTTATGTGTGGCAATATCGTGACTTCATTTCTATTGTTCTAAATTACTGAACTATTTTGAATGCTGGTGTTGATAATTTATAGGGCTAAGTACTTTATATTGATTTCTTTGCAATTTAAGCTGCAGCTATTGATTAAAATCATCCTTCTTCATGCGGGTTGCCAGGGAAATAAATTAAATATGATAATCAAAGAAGTATGTCCACAAGGAATGAGAACTAAGGCCTTCAGATGCAAGGCTGAAAAAACTAAAATTTTGGATGAGCAAATTCATTTTTTCAATTGTGTTGGTGAAATAGGAGTTGCTTCTTTGACTCCTTATTTTGAGAGAAGTAATGTTATGAAACTTTGATGCATTAGAAAAATATTTATGGCTGCTTTGAGATTATGAGAAATTTTAAAATTAATGTAAGGCAACTTCGGTGATGATTTAAAAATTATTTTTGCTTCGTGATGGGAAAGAATTAAATAGATTTTAAATTTGTTGGAGTGGTGGCGAAAAATTTACCGTTGAAGAACGGTTAAGGAAAAAAGTTGGCCAATTTCAAAATTGTTAATAGCTTTTTGGTAGATCATTTTTTTTTACTGGAATAGGGTGAGGATCTTCACATCATTAGTTAATTAATGAATGTAATTTTAGATCAATTGAATTTTTGAATGAAAGGTTTTAAATTTTTATGTGGACTGCTCAAAACAGATGAATAATAGGAGTTGAGATTTTATGAAAAGATTATAGCTCAATGTGGGTAGCTATGAATAGGGTGTCAATTTTTGAAATAACCAGGCAAATTTGGTTTCGAGTCGACCCGTTTAACTAACATGTCAGGTTCAAGTTATTCTCGAACCAAATGAAAAATTGGGTCGGGTCTGGATCTGGAAATGACCCACATGCAACCCACATGAAAAAGGAAGATTTTAAATCAATGGCAACAGCTTAAGTTGCAAAGAAATCAATATAGGGTATTAAATATGTTCAAATTTCATAAAATTTAGCTCTATAAAATTATCAAGCACTTACATTCATAATTGTTTAGTAATTATGAACTTTTGAATTAAAGTCACGAAGTTGTCACCCATAAAAATAAGTGAGAAGTCTGCCACTCAATTTAACATGCAACAAACATATGAAGAGATTAGTTTTGAATCATCCACAAATAGTACTAATTGTTTCAGCTATCATAGACTGCTCAAGCTGATAGATGGAATGTTGATTCAGTCTAGAATATAGATTATTGATTCTATCTTAAATATCATAGAATGCATTTGTCTTCTGATATTGAAGTACTATTTATCACATAAGTAATTTAATAAAAAATAATTTACGTTTAATAAAAAACTTGTGTTTACAAAGAGTTAGTAGTACTAATTTTTGAATTGATTTGCAAATCAACAATAATTAAAACTTGTGAACTAAAATTTTCATCTTCTCCTACATTCTCAATCCCCTACTTCTATGAGTTGTCCATATAAAAATTTGGAACTTTTCATTAAGAAATTCAATTGATCTAAATTTACCTTCATTAATTAGCTAATGATTTGAAGATCTTCATCTCATTCCAATACAAAATATGCTAATAGTTCATATAATTTAGCCCTATAAATTTAACAACATCAACAGTCCTAATTGTTTAGTAATTTATAACAATTGAATTAAAGTCAAGATGCAATCACCAAAAAAAGGAAGTGAGAAACCTGCCACACAATTTTACTTGCAACTTTTATATGCAGAGAATAGTTCTGAATCATCCACCAAAAGTAGTACTTGCATAATTCAACTATCATAGAATTTTCGAGCCAGCAGATTCATTGTTAACTCAACTTTGTTAGATTGCTAATTACCTCTGAATTCCATAGAATGCTAAAGTATTCTGATTCAGAAGAAACTTTCCAGCATACAAGAGCATTAAATTCTGGCTTTTGAAACTCGTCTTGGTTGTAATCTTGGTGATGATAATGGAGACTATAACCAAGCGTTACGGTGGAGGAGAAAATGACATGGCTTCTTCCTTTGCTCCATATCTTCCTCTACAGCCGAGCTACAAGTAAAAAAGTAAAACTTCACAGAAATGTCTTGAGAAAAAAGAGTTTTGGGGTTGGCGGATATAGTTGATGGGGAGCTAGCCAAGGGAGGAAGAAGAAACTTGATTATATCGTGCTACTATAATACAATATAAAAATAGATAATTTGAAGAAAAAAAATTTACTTGATTTTGTATTATAAGCTTTGTACATTATTTATAGATTCGAAATAGTGAAGAAAAGGAAATTAAATGATCACGTGTAATAAATATTAATTTAATACATATATTAAATGAAAAGAGATAAAAATAGAATAATTTAACACCTATAATGAATGCCAATTTAATACATATCTTAAATGAAAGGAAATCAAAATGAAAGTGAATTAATGCCCATAATAAATGTCAATTTAATGTATAGACCAAAAGAAAGAAAATATGAAAATAAAGAATTAATTGATATATTTAATTTTTCAATACCTAAATAATGTATCCAAACAGCCCATAACTTTATACAATAAATTCAACATTTTCTCTTCACTCAGCCAACCCCCACTAGGGGTGTAAGTGAGTCAATCCACCTCGAGCTCACGAGTCGAGCTTATCGAGCCACGAGTTCTAGCTCAATGGCTCAACTCAAAAGCTCGTTAAGCTGGTCAATTAACTTAAAAATATATTTAATAATTAATTTACATTAACATTATATAATATATTTTAATAATTTTAAATTAATTATACATTAAAAAAAAAAATCTAAAATTAAGAAATCGTGTTGAGCTTTCTAAATAAGCTAAAGCAATTGAGTCGAGCTTGAGCCTATAAAAATTTTAACTAGTTAAACTCAAGCCTAGTAAATGAGCTCGAGCCCATTAAAAGCTAAACAAGAAAGTTGAAGGTTGTGCAAGGCTGGTGTTGGACATATGCCTTAAGGTTTCTCTTGAACATCATTTGGCACAATATTTTTCCAAGCTTCATAACACTAATGCACTCAGTGTCTCTCCTGGGTGCAACTATTGCTGCACAAGATCATTGTTTTAAGGCCTGATTGCCCCTCAAATCTCTAAATCCGCCATTATGGGTGTAAACAAAGTCGAGCCAAGTTCGAGTCACCCTTCGTATGAACTTGAGCTTTATTAATTGTTAGAGTTCGAGTTTGATCTCAAGCCTAATTTTATAAGATCGAATGAAAGAAAAAAATAATTATTATTCAAGCAGTTATCATAATAAAATTAAAAAAAAGAAGAAATTGGAAGATAAATAATTATGAAATCATTCGATATAAGAAAGAGAAATATATATATTTTTAATAAATATATACATGAACAATAGCATGTATTCTAATATATTTTAAATTAAAAATTTTAACTAATTGATTGGTGAGCTAACTTGTCTAGTCTAAACTGACTCGAGTTTAGCTTATTAGCTCATTAAACTTAGCTCAAGAGCCATTTATCGAGCTAAGCCCGAGCCGACTTGACTTACATACACCTCAGTACCAATTATATTAGTGATAATGATTTTTTTGTACCATAATTTATTATACTAAAAATGAATTAAATTATTTTTTATATTTTTTCCAATTTTGAAATTTAAATTATTTAATATGAATTTGAGACAATTAATTTAAATAGAAAAAATGAACATCATGCACATCTAAAAACAACAGTAAGTCCCACTACCAAAATGTATTTCATATAATTTTTACAAAAACTATAACTAAACTTTTTGACCAATCTAGTATTTTCAATTCACAAAGCAACTTCTTCATTTTGGCTATGGACTAATTTTAAAGGAAAATTTTAGTATATTTTTATGAGCTTTTCTCTTTTTTTCTTTCATTATATTTCAAAAATTTATCTCTCTTTTGATCTTTTACACTTGATGTTTTAATCTCTGGCACAATTGTGAGTATAAAAATTTATGTCTTCAAAGAGTTAATGGTGCTAATTTTTAAATTGATTTGTAAATTAACTATAATTAAATTTGTGGGCTCAAACATAAGTATTTTTTCCTAAATTCACAATCCCCGCTACCTTTCTAAAATCTTAAACAACTTTATATCCAAATGGGTTAAAAGTCTCTACCCAGACCTAACCAGCCCCAAACCCGAGCCGACCCAACTGACATATTGAGCTGAGGGAGTGTAGAGCAAGGGAGTGTCGAGCTTTGGTTGTGGGGCATGGGGGTAAGCGCAACTGTGCAGGAGCAACCGCTAGAGTGAGAGAACAGGTGCGACAATGAGCGGGTGTGCGCGAGGCTGAGTGGGCTAGCGGGTGTGCGTGAGGCTGAGTGGACTAGCGGGTGCAAGCGTGGGTGTGGGCCTACCAGCTGGGGGGATGCATGCGAGGTAGGCACAAGTGAGCCATGTGAGTGATACAAACTTAAGTTATATGCACGATTGGTTAACGTGCCGGGTTGCATGCGAGTCATTTCCGGGTAAGACCCAGACCCGACCCAATTTTTCATATGGGTCTAGAATTAGAACTTGAACCTCGCCTATTTGTTAAATGGGTCGACTTGAAACCAAATGTGCCTGGTTATTTCAAAAATTGAAACCCTATTCATATCTACCACTTTGAGCTATAATCTTTTCATAAAATTGCAACTCCTATTGTTCATCTATTTTGAGCAGTCCACATAAAAATTTAACACCTTTCATTCACAAATTCAATTGATCTAAAATTACATTCATTAATGAACTAATGATATGAAGATCCTCACCCTAGTCCACTAAAAAAATGATCTACCAAAAATCTATTAACTTTTCATTCACATATTCAACTGATCTAAAATCACCTTCATTAATTAACAAAAGATCTAAAGGTCCTCACCCTATTCCATTAAAAAAATGCAACACGATGAATTATCAACATTGTCATTCAAAATTTCTTAGTAATTTAGAACAATTGAATTTAGGTCATGATGTTGTCACCCATAAAAAATATGTAATAATTCTACGACAATTTATCATGCAATTGTCATAAGAAGAGAGTAGTTTTGAATCATCCACCAATACTATTACTTGATTCAGCTATAATTGAATG